CCCTTTTCCCGGAAACCACCATTGAATCACTTTCTTCTTCGATTTTTATTTCCCTGAAAAAGAAAAAGAAAGCCGATTGAAATCGGAAAATGGAGGATAAGCCTGGGTTTGGATTCCGTCCGTACGAAGAGGAGCTCGTGGGTTACTATCTCCGTCACAAAAATCTGGGAAACAATAGTCTCGTTGAAGAAGCTATTAGCGAAGTCAAAGTCTATAGCTTCGATCCTTGGAATTTGCGTTGTAAGTTTGCGATTCGATTGAATTTTTTGATTTTTGTTTTTTTTGATTTCTGATTTAGGGTTTTCTTGTAACAAACAGTCCAATCGAAGATCAAATCGAGAGATCACTTTTGGTATTTCTTCTATTGTAAGGAAAACAAGTACGCGAATGGAGATCGACAGAGCAGGACAACGAGTTCTGGGGCTTGGAAGATTACTGGAAAACCTGTAAAAGTTGAGGATCAATGGGGACTTTATGGAGTTGCAGGTGTAATTGGGTATAAAATCCATTTGGTTTGGCAAAAGGATAAAAACTCCAAGGGAATCAAATCTGATTGGGTTATTCAAGAGTTTCACTACACTCTCTTGCCAGAAAATCAGGTACTCTTTTGATTCCACTTGTTGGTTTCTTGGTTTGTGTTCTTCAATTGTGTCGTCTTTGGTTGTATATGTGGTTTATAATATGAGTTTTTTTTTGGGAATAAATAGCTTAGTTTTTTTTTTTATTCCAACTCTTAGTGAAGATTTTGTGGAGTGGTTTTGATATGTCTTTTCCACTGATGATACTTATGTGTGTACCTCTGGAAATTTGTACAGAGGAACTATGTTGTCTGCAGACTTGAATATAAGGGTGACGACAGAAACATCCTTTTGGAGAATGCTACAGATCCAATTCCCACTTTTGTCCCCAATATGACTTATAGCTCAGGTTCTGTGGTGAGTCAATCAACATCCACACTGTATTTTTTGCTCTTAAACTTGAGAAAGTGACAACAAAAAGTTTTTGTGTTTATCTGATTTGATGTTTCCCACACAAAATTGTTTTATGTTTCAGGTCGATCAACCAGTTCATGAATATTCAGGATTTGAGCTTGAGTCAGCAAATCATCAAGGCCACTGGTTCCCTGGCGACTTGGACATGCAACAATCAGTTCAAGGACTTTCAGGATCTTTCAACAATTTCACCGAGGACTGGTGGTTAGCTAGCTACTTTAACCAACAAGCTCCTTACTCGCTCCCACATGGAGAAGAGTCAGAGATGATTTGGAAGACTGTTGTTGAAGAAAACCATGAGTCTTTGGTAGATGAAAGGATGTTTATGCAGAATTACAATGATTACCGGCCAAAAAATCCGGTTACAGGGGTTTTACCCGATCATAGCAGTGATAGTGACACTGACTCAATGGTAAGCACCTTACACATAACATATCATCAGAATCTGTTTCAATTCTCACATCTCGGTTTTTGCCTTTTAATAGATTGGTGGAGACACTTCTAGCTTTACTGATAGTGTTGGTAGTTCAAATGGACCGTGCCATACTCCTGTTGATGACATTCTATCATCGAGTACTATTGAGCCTTTGCACAATTATGTGGTTCAAGAGCAACCAAAGCAGCTGAAATTGCAGTTGCAGGGCAAAGAGAAGGTGTGTTTTACACTCTCTCTCTCACTGAAGAACATGATTTTGATACAGAATGTCAAATCATAATTTCATCAAATTCTAGTTACATTACATGTTAAATTGTTGGCTATGGATCTTGCTTGCAGGTGATAAATAAGCAGAAAACCGAAAGCGAATGGAAAATGGCTGAAGACTCCTCGATCAAGAAAACTTTATCCGCCAACACAGTGAAGCAGAACTGGATTGTTTTAGAGGAGAATAGTCAAAGGAAGTCGCAATGGATCTATCTCAGGAACATGATCATTGGCTTCTTATTGTTCATCTCCATCATTGGTTGGATCATTCTTGTAGGTTTAAGAGGTCAAATCTGATTCTCGCTCACAT